CACGAAAAGGAAAATTATCGTCTTGGATTTGAACAGCTCCCCTTTCTTGTGCAGCTCGGAGGATATGATTTAGGAAATGTTTCCACCTGCTGTTGTTCCGATATAGAAAATGCTGAAGGTAGAGTTGCTCCCTTCTTGTAGCGTAATCTGGTTAGTGTAGCTTAAGAGTTCCGTCTCTGGAGAAGCATAAATCTGAGTTCGAATCCCCTGTCTCCTCAGAGCTGCCGCCAGCCCCCACCCACAATGCCACTGTGGGAATTAGGAAAGGATGCCCATCCCCCGGAAGGACGCTGCTGAGTGCAGCCTGCTTATGCCCCCTATTTGACCATGACAAAGTCATTTATCCTCTGTGACCCTCAGTCTCTCCATCTGTGAAATGGGCATATAATAACAGAACCCACCTGACTGGCTGCTTGTGAGGATTAAGTGAGCTAATAATATATGCCAGTGAGCGCTACGTGAATGCTAGCGATAACTGTATTCTGATAATCATCATATTCTGCCTGCCTGCAGATTGACCAACCAGCCCAACAAAATTGTGTGCCTGACAATTTGCTCGGGACTCAGGACATTCGGCGTGCAAGCTGGGTCCCGGGCAAAGGCCAGGCCGGAGCTCTACTTTCTGCTTTGCTGTTTGGCCTGAGAGGTGGGTGTCTGGGCTGAGGTGCCTGGGTGGGATCTCGGGTGTATATTAACACTCCTCCTTGGGGGGAAATGGGTGCTGTCCAAGATCAGGGACTAGGTCTGTTTTGCTAGGATCTCCCTTCATTGGACCTTCGCTCTAGCAAGCCCCAGGCCGTGGGCCGGTGTGCATTCTCTTTGCACTCGCTCCGTGCCTGAGCTCTCTGAGCCTCAGTTTCCTCCCCTGCGAAGGGGGGAGGATAAGATCTGGCTTAGAGGATGAGTCGCACGGTTTGAGATCTGATCAACATCAGGTCCTGGCACAGCTCCTAGTTGGAGCCCAGGAAATAACAGACCACATCTGCAGGGTGCCTGCCTCGCGCCAGGCCAGCGGCCTCCGTTCTCTACGCGCTGTCTCCTCTGCTCCTCGCGAGAAGCTTAGGTGGTGAGCCCCATTATTAGGGCTAGTTCACGGAAGGGGAGGAGAGAGAGGAACTCCCCCTGCTGAGAAACTCCGAAGGAATCCAGTGGAAGTTTCTCTCAGTCCTGTCACACTCAGACGGGCTTTGTCCACGCTTCCGTTTGAGTGCGGCCTTGTCATAGAGAGAGTGTGATCACACCCTCTTTTCTGAAGCCCGGTCACACAGCCCAGCGGCTGGGTGTAAGCTCTCGCATCTCCAATCAAGTGTTGCCGTTACTCAGCGGGGCCATCATGTCAGCCGTTGGTGTGTGTGGGTATGTTCCAGAGGCATGTTCTGCCCCAGGGTTGCCCTGACGTGGGTGGAAAAGGCTTGCCTGCCTTGTGTCCTCAGATGGGTCCCCATCCCTGGGTGCAGGCATCACCAGCCCGGCCAGGCTCCTTGAACTTCCTACTGTGATGCCTACAGCAACACTGGGATTCTGTTATTCTCACCTGCTTTGGACACATGAGGAAACTGAGGCTCCAGGAGGGGAAGTCAGTTGCTGAAGTGGCGGAGACAGGATTTGAACCTGGAGCTCCTGCCTCCAGGGTCCATGATTGTGACCCCTTTGTCGTTCTGCCTTCATCTATAGCATGAAGGTCTTGGACCAGGTCAGAGGCCATTTTGAGGGGTTTGAGGGAGTGTCTTCCTTTCCCATAGATTTCATTTTTTAGAACGATTTCAGATTTGCAGAAAAATTATGAAGATGCAGAGAGTTGCCATCTACCCCACACCCGGTTTCCCCCATAATTGACACCTTACGTGAGTACGGTACATTTGTCACAATGGGTGACCTGATATTGATACGCTATTATTAGCTAAAACTCATACTTTATTATTCAGTTTCCTTAGCTTTTCCTTGATGCCTTTTATTTGTGTTTATTTTATTTTATTTTATTTTATTTTATTTTATTTGGTCTCAGCATCCCATCCAGGAAACCACATTACGTTTTTGTCATTATGTCTCCTTAGCCTTCTCTGGTCTGTGGTGGTTCCTCAGACTCTCCCTCAATTCGATAACCTTGGCAGTTGCGAGAAGTACAGTTCACGTATTTTGTAAGATGCCCTCCTCTTGGAACGTGTCTAATGTGTTTCTCATGAGACTGGGGTCGTAGGTAGGGGGAGGAAGACCACAGAGGTCCATTGTCATTCTTACCACCAAGAGTATATACCATCCACTTGACCTCTTCTGTTGGCGTCGACCTTCATCGCCTGGCTGAGGTCCTGTCAGTCAGGTTTCTCCATCGTAAAGGGACTGTTTTCTTCTGGGGGTTATCTTTTTTTTTTTTTTTTTTTAACTTTTTAAAATGTTAATTTATTTTTGAGAGACAGAGCACAAGCGGGGGAGGAACAGAGAGAGGGAGACACAGAATCCGAAGCGGGCTCCAGGCTCCGAGCTGTCAGCACAGAGCCCAATGCGGGGCTCAAACCCACGAACCGTGAGATCATGACTTGAGCCAAAGTCAGACGCTTAACCAACTGAGCCACCCAGGCGCCCCTCTGGGGATTATCGTTTTATCACTTACAATGAACATTCTTTCTAGGTAGGGAATCTTTCTCTGTTTGCACCATATGAAATCCTACACCGAATCACAGCTGACAAGGGCTGGCTGCCTGGGCAGGTGACAGGTGTGATCACGCAGGACCTGCGCTTGGGGATTAATGCTCTGCTGTCACCATCTTAAAATTGTTAATAATCTCATCTTTGGATTCGTTTCATAAGGGGAGGTTAATAGGACAACACGACACGCACGGGGGGCTTGGAACCTCAACCTTGGGGCACGCCCTGCCGCCTCCCCGTCTCCCCGGGATGGATGTTCTGCCAACTCCCCAGCCCTGCCCAGTGACTTTTGCCACCCCTCTGTCCCCGGCAGGGGCCTGCAGGTGGTGCAAGGAGCGTTAGGGTGGGCGTGCACGTTTTGTAGCATCTCAGGGTGGGGACCAAGTGGGGGCCATCGGCATCCTAGGCTGGCAGCACCACGATACATTCAGTGGGCAAGTGAGAGGGGGCGAGCCTCTTGTCCCCTCCCCACCCAGGTACCAGGTGCACTCCAGCATGGAGGTTGCAGTTTCTCTGGGGTCACGGGTCCTCCGTGGATCGGGGAAGTGGGCCTACGAGGAGGAGTTTCCCTGCCCCTGCCCAGGGCACCCATGTTTGTCCCGGGACTGGCAGCCAGCAGGCCATGCACGCGTGGATGCCCAGTCATGGCAGGGCCCTGGACCCCTGTGAGGGTCTGCACTTCCCCCCCCCCCGCCAGGTATCCTGATGCCTGAGCGAGCACAACATTCAGTAGCAAACAAAAAAAAAATACATGATAGGTCCGGAAAGGGAGGCCACAGAGGAAAGGAAAATGTTTTCTATGTCTTAAGTACTTTTAACAGCCCAGTTTCTCTGTTTTGAATAAAGGCCCGTATCTTCATTTTGCACCAGGCACCACAGATTTGAAAGCCAGTCCTTCCCCCACGGCTCCTAGTGTCCCCACCCCACACTACACCCCAAGTGTCTCTGAGGAAATTCCCGTCTCTGCGGGATGGAAAGGGAAAGCCCTGGGAGAGGCATGCTGGCCCTGACTCGAGGCCATCCATGGACCTGGGTGGTCCAGCATTTCTAGGCCATTCCGGCTCAGTGTCGTCAAGCAGTGGAAACCTGGGGAAACTGAGGCACAGTGACGAAGAATGACTGAACGGACTCTGCACGCAAGCTTGCAAGCCAGGGTTGGACTAGGGGTTTCTGTCAGCTCAACGCAAAGTTGGCTGACGGCTGTGGAATACTCAGAGGACAGCCTGAGACAGAGAGAATGCTGGGCTAGGGGTCAGACGGAGCTGGGGTGAGGGCTCGGCTAGGCCCAGTCAGGCCAGTGCTCTTTCCTTGCCGAACCTTGATGTGCTCATCTGTTTAATGGGAGTGAAACCCGAGGTCCCTAGGACCAAGCTTAATCCAGATAATGCACGGGGGACTCACATGCTGTGGTGCCCCACCTGGATACGAGATGTCCTCACCCCACACAGCCACCAAGTACTGGTGTTTGCTCCACGGATTTGCCCATTTCACCTTCACGCTTGGGTATGTTTCGGTGCGTCCCCACCGTCTGCCCGGGGATGTGAACACCCAGAGGGCCCAAAGCACGTCTGTTTAAGTCCCTCTGGGTCCTGGGTGGAGTAGATCCTGGCTTAGCAAGAACCTTGAACAGGGAGGGAGGTGATGTTACTGCTCCCTCACCTGGAGCAGGCTTCTCTGTTTCAACTCCATAAACTGTGAAGGCGACAAAGCCCTTTCTGTGTTTTGCGAGAGATACAGTTTGCAAATGATCTCATTACCCCCACAGCCATGAGCAGAGTTATGTCGGGCCTTTCTAACAAGTGGCAGTAAAACATTTTATAGGCCCCTCTGCCCCCCTCCTTCCCCCACCGTGTAATTTGCTCTGTTTGGGGTTGAACTTGGTGTTTTCCCTCTTTCGCTTCTCTTTCTCCTTGCACTTTCTCTCATGTTAATTATATTAGTTGCCATGGAAACAGTGATGTCATTGGCACGGGAGCGCTCAATGACATCCAAAAGCACAGTTTATAGCATGGCTTGAAATTTATTCCATGGCTCGCAGCCTTGAGGGGGGTTATATGGCGATTATATCGCGGGCACCATCTGGGCGCGAGGGTGGGAAGGGGTGGAGAGTAGCTGGGCTGTGGGGTGCTTCCCACAGCCCCAGATATTGGGGGGCCGTTCCATTTGGACACCGTGGAGGCCACCTTGGGTACCGTGAAGAACTATCTCTTCTTGGCTTTTGCCAACACTCGCTACCTACCAGCACCCCGCCCCACGTTTGTCCCCGTTTTAGGATTTCAGAACCCTGCATGGGGCGGTCTCAAAAGTGCTTAACACAAGGGCGGGGTGTGTGTGTGTGTGTGTGTGTGTGTGTGTGTGTGTGCGCGCGCGCGCGCGCGCGCGCGCGCGCACCCGCGCGCACCCGCTCGCACATGTGCTTGAAGCATCAAACCATGCTGTTAGTATGAAACTGTGATCCGCAGCGTGCAGCGCACGTTACTTCACACACACGGCTCGCATACACATGCACACACTTATTTGCCCATCTGTACTTCATTCTAGAAGGTGCAGTGGCATGCACATTACCGAGTTTTGTGCCAGAGCCCCCATCCTCCACAGCTCACTTCTGGAGCTGCAGGGGCGGGGTGGGGAGCAGGGCCGCGTCCGGAGACAATGCGGTTGCGGTCGGGGGTCGGAGCGCCGCGTGCACACCCTTGCAGGGAGATGCGCCAGGTGTGGGCCTGGCGAGCTCGCCCCCGGGGCTGGGCCTTCCGTTATTCGGTGGGAGGCCTCCGTGTCTCGATCTGACACCGAGCAGACAGGCCCCGAGGCGGGAGCCACTCGGCAGGGTCCCCTCTTCCTCCCTGGGGACCCGTGGACGTGTTTTTCAGTTCCTGTGCTAAGTATCACCTTGAGTTTGCCGAGGGAGCGCGGCAAACAGCGCGCAGAGCTACAGCGGACCTCCAGGTGTTCCTCATCAATTCTGGAGCTCTTGTGTCTCAGATCAGAAGCATGAAGGGCTCTCTGGGAAAGCCCACTTGGAAGAGCAGGAGAGGAGGCACTGTGGGGCGCAGGCCACCGGTTTGGGAATCAGGGGTGTCACTCCAAACAGCGTCAATGCAACCGGCAAATTATTCGCCTCAGAAGCGGAGTTCGAGGTGGGAACTTAAGGCATCACCTGCCCTAGGGCCGCAAATAGTGACATCTGGCCTCTGGCGGCACCTCTGAGTCCTGCCTGTCTCTGTTTCGATTCCCCCTCCTGGTGCCCTCAGGACTGCAGGGAGCGCCCGCTCCGCCTTCAACTCCACTTTGTTCCAAAATAATGTCACGGGACCGCGTCCAAGTCACGTGCCCATCCACGAGCCAACAACGGGTGGCCGGGGCGGCGTGGCTTCCTCTGATTGGCCAGACCTGGGCCACGCGGCCTCCCCTGGAGCCAGTAAGAGAGAGTGGCCGCAGCAAGCGGGCTGGGACCCTGAGAGCGGAATTGGAGCTGGGCTGGTGGAACCCGGGGCGGTCCTTGAGCTTCTTTCTGTCCCCGTGGTAGGCGTCCCCCCAGAAAGTACTTGTCCCGCTCCCATCAGAGCCTTCAGGGGTCACTAGGCCTCAACCTCGTCTGTCACGGGGACACCGAGATGAGTCAGCCATCGCCCTGCCCCACCCTGCCCTCAGCCCCCTGCTAGCCCCGGGGGGTCACCACCAGAACTGCTGAAAAAAGAGAGGAGCCTCCACTGGAGGAGCCCGAGGGCGCTCCAGGCCCTGAAGCAAGTGTGGAGTACCGATCAGTTTGGACCCAAGTCCCGGGGAGGACGAGGAGGAGGAGGAGGGTGGCGAGTGGAGAAAGCAGGCGAGGTGGACGCCGGAAGAGAGAAAGGCCTGTGCAAAAGCAGATGCGTGCAAGGGCACAGCTTAGGGAAACTGAGTCCCACATGCAATCGTAATAATAGCAGTAACAGACGCTCTGCTCTGGGCTAAGGGGTCCAGCTTTGTCATGACCAGCTTTACCACGGGCCTATGAGACAGGTGCTAGGAAGTTAGTCCCTGGCACTTAGGAAGCCCCATATAAATGTTTGCTATGATAATAATAGTAATAGGGAGCCATGGATGATTTTAGCAAGGGAGAGAATAAGATTGAGGGATTTGGGTAAACGGGAAGAGAGCAGAGATGGTTTAGAGCCACAGTGGTTCTCAACCAGGGGTGATTTATCCCCCAGGGGAACATTTGGCAATCTCTCCAGACGTTTTTGGTTGTCACAATTTGGAGGGAGAGGCGCTACAGTCATCTAGCGGGTAGAGGCCAGGGATAGTGTTAAATATCCTGCAGTGAGCAGGACAGTCCCCACCACCCCACCACAAAGAATTATCTAGCCCAGTGTCAATAGGTCTGAGGTGGAAAAGTCTGGGTTTGGGTTAAATATGGGGGCTGATGCAGAATATAATAGGGCTTGTCAGAGGAGGCTGTGAACAGGACAGTGGCCCTGGGCTGGCCAAAGTCTGGCAGAACTTCACCCCCCACCAAATGGGTATCCTCCCTTCCCGATCTGCTAGCTGGTGGGGGTCCATGGCGCAGAAGGTGCTGGCGGGGAGAAGCGTGTCACCCAGAGATCTGCAGGCCCTGGCAGACGGCGGGCCACAGTGACGCTTGCTCCAGCTGCGTGCACCTCTGAATCAAAGACCCAGCAGGTTCCTCGCGTGGGGGCAGATGTCCTGTATTGATGTGCCACTTGCCACTTGGGAGTCCAGGCTTGGACCAGCCTGGAAATGTGGAAGCCTGGCCACTCGCAGATCGCCAAGCCCAGTCCTCCGAGTCAGAAATGTTGATTTGTTTCAGTAACGTGAGCATGGGGGAGGGTGGGGCGGAAGAGAGGAAAGTGAGCAAGAGAGACAGTGAGTCAAAAACCATGAAGCTGACTGAGACAGAGACCGGGAGAGACAGACACACTCAGCAGGAGAACCACCGAGAAAGAACAAACAACACAGAGAGGCTAATAATACTAAGGGATGGAGCCCGAGATGGAAGGACACAAATTAAGAGCAGGGAAGAGACACAGAGAGAGAAAACCAGACCGAAGAGAGTCAGATGGATTGAGATTAGCAAACAATAAAAATAAAAATAAATAATAAGATCGAGAAAGAGCAAAAGAAAGATTGAGTAGAAGACAAGACGGGGAGAGTGAGCAAGACAAATACCTCCTCCCAAACCCCGTGGTCCAGAGCCCAGAAACTCTCCAAGGCTTTGCCATATTTTAGCCATGAAACCGGGAAACTGGGGCAGCTTTCTCACTGCAGGTCCGGGACGAGCAAGCCTTGTTCGCATTATTGCTGCCATCCCCTGCGAACTGGACATTAGCCAACAGGAAATTCCTGGGAGAAATCTTTCCACTCAGAGTCTTTTAAAACTTTTTACTTATTTATTTTAATCCCCCCCCCTTTTTTTTTTCAAGGACGAACAAAAAAAAGAGTGAGGTGGGTAAGGGGGAAGAAAGGAAAAAAGAAAAAAGAAATGATCCACCTGGTATAAGAAAAACTTATCTGGCAACAGCCAGGGGAAGCTCGGGATCCATTGTGTCCGCTGTGTCCATTCTTCCTCTGGAAGGATTTATGACCTCACACTCCCATGACATCACAATGCGTTGCCATGGCTCCTGCTTTATTATCGTAAACAAAGAGCTGTTCCTCGGGACACTGGCCGTCTGAGCAGGAGGGGGAGAAAAGGGTCTGTGTAATGTGTTTTCTTGGGAAGGCGGCTTGTTCGGAAGTCTGAAAAGCTGCGAAAATAGTTGTACACAGTTCTCTGCGTGTAGCCTCTGGACAAGGTTAGGACAGGGACAGAGGAATGAAGTCAGCTCTCCGCTGGAGGACCCTCGGGCTCTGTGTGTTCTCACCGCCAAAGAGCGGCTTCCTGGGTTTCCCTCACCGCTCGGATAAAGGCTTTCATTCATTCGCCAAAAATGCATTGAGCGCCTACTACGTGCTAGGCGCTGGCAGATTCTGGTTTCTAGATGGGCGAGACGCAGGCCCAGGCCCTGCCGCTTGCAAAAACCCGGCAGAGAAGTCACCAGGAATGTGTGTAGAGTTGTAATCTGGGTGAGGATGAGAAGGAAATGAGGATGAGAAGAATGGGGGAGGAAGCTACTTGGATGAGCAATCCAGGAGGGCCTCTCTGAGGAGGTGATGTTTTAGACAAGACCTGCAGGAAGAGAAGGGGTCCGCGGTGAAGAGTGGGAGCAGGTGACAGGGCCCTAAGCGAGGACAGCCGCTCCAGGCTGTGACTGTCAACATTTAGGTTCCCACCAGGGGTGTCTTCCCACACATTTTGTAGTATTTCTTTCTGGCCAGCTGACTTCGTGCGGGGGGGGGGGGGGCCCGCCCGAGTAAAGAGGAGTCACTTTTGCTGAGTCCGAGTGAGCCTTCTGAACCCTGGCCACAACAGTGCCCGCCAGCTGCCACTTCCAGACGGCAAGGACGGGGGTCTCAGCCCGGAGCTTGGTGAACACAAATTAGCCAGGAGCAGAAACACCTGTGGGACCCGAGCCCGCTCTCCCTGAGTCAGTTGTGCAGGGAGCAGGTGATACTCTTCAGCGACAGGAAGGGCAGCGGCAGGGAGGAGGGAGGGGAGCCTGTGGGACAGATGTGGGCCCTGCCGGCTGGTCAGGAGACCAGACGGGCAGGCAAGGAGGCCATCCTCCCCTCCCGCCTCCCAGGAGGTGGACCTTGAGGGAGCTGGGACTCGACATACAACAGAACGAGAGCCACTAGATCGTCAGCCCGGCCGTGGATTCTGATGGGGACGCAGAGGCCCAGAGGTGGCACAGGAAGCTAGGTACAGAGTTCAGCCCCCACGTTACTGGGTGCCCTGGGGGATCTCACTTCCCGTGTCTGAGCCCATGAATGTAAAGAGAAGAAGGCACATAAGCACTTAGTGTGGCGGCAAGACAGTCGCTCTTGCCTACCCCCGCTTTCCGAAGGACGCGTTTCTGAAACCCTTCCAGGCGCCATGCTTCCAGCGTCTCATACGTTTAGCTCATTTAACACTCCGGGAAGTCCTAAATGGCAGGTGTACCTGTCCCCATTGTGCAGATAAGCAAACCGGGGCCAAGGGGGGTCGAATGACACGCCCAAGGTCCCAGGGTCAGATCCCAACCCTGCCTGACTTTTTCAAACAAAGCCCATGTTCTCGACCACTGAAGCTTGCCCTGCCAGGAGGCACAGCTACAGTGCGGGTGGGGGTCGGGGTGGGATGTGGCAGAGGGGAGGGCTGACACCGTGGCTGCCCAAATGGTGGTGACCCTCTGACATGGAGCCAGGAAGGTGAGAACTCTGCAGAGCTGTGAGAGCCGGCCAGCTAGAGTGACGGCATACCAGAGACCCCCAGGACGGCAGGGAGGGGAGGCCATGGCAGACAAGAGAGAACCTTCTCTATACGCTGAGCGATGCTTCCAGACGCAGGAATCTGATTTTTATGTGGGACACGCACTTTAGGCTTCTCCAGAGCAGGGTAAACAAGGCTCAGTTCCCTACAAACTCAGCTGGGTCCAGCTGTTAATAGGAAGGGCATCTGTGTGGGACATCAGGGGATAGGGGGTGGACCATTAGACCGTGCATCCGGACTTTGGAGAAATGTCACATTTAATGGATGCCTGGCCCTGGGCTAAGCACTTGCCTGACCTGGCTTTATTCAATTCACCCATCCTGTCCCGGCTGTGTGTGCCCCGAGAGGATCGATCTTAATCAGGGGTTGGTAAACTTCTTTCCGTAAAGGGTGAGACAGGAAATATTTTAGGCTTTGTGGGTCACATCATCTTTATCGCAACTGCTCAACTCGGCCACAGTAGCATAAAAACAGCCCTAGACAACATGTAAATGACAAACGAGCATGACTGTTCCAATAAAACTTTATTTACAAAAACAGGTGGTGGCACTTCACATCCACTAGGATGACTCCAATCGAAAAGTAGTCAGATTGGGGCGCCTGAGTGGCTCAGCGGGTTAAGCATCCAGCGTTGGCTCAGGTCATGCTCTCTGGGTTCGTGGGTTCGAGCCCCACATCAGGCTCTGTGCTGACAGCCGGGAGCCTGCTTCAGATTCTGTGTCTCCCTCTCTCTTCGCCCCTCCCCCACTCATGCTCCGCCTCTCTCTGTCTCTCAAAAATAAGTAAACTTTTAAAAAAATAACAGCTGGAAAGTCAAATAGTAACAAGTGTTGGTGAAGATATGGAGAAACCGGAATTTCCGTACGCTGCTAACGGGAACGCCAAACCGAATAGCTCTTTGGAAAACAGACTAGTAGGTCCTCACAGGGTTAAACGTAGAGTTGCCATGTGACCCAGCAACCCCAGTCGTATGTATCCGCCCAAGAGAACTGAAAGCACATGCCCACACAAAAGCTCGTACACGAATGGTCATAGCAGCATTATTCACAGTAGGCAAAAAAGTGGAAACAACCCACACGTCCTTCCAGCCATAAGTGGGTAAACAAAACGTGGTCTGTCCACACCATGGGGTGTTATCCAGACGCGGGAAGGAATGCGGTACTGACACCTGCTAAAATGTGGACGAACCTCGAGGACATCAGGCTAAGTGAAAGAAGCCAGACACAAAAAAACCATAGGTTGTGCGGCTCCCTTTGTTGGATGTGTCCAGAATAAGTAAATCCCTAGAGACAGGAAGTGGATGGGTGGTTAATTAGGGCTAAAGTGGGAAGATTCAAGGGTTGGGGGAAGAGGGTGTTGATACCTGAAGGATATGGGGTTTCTTTTCGAAGTGATGAAAATGTTCTAAAATTGATCGTGGTGATGGTTGCACAGATCTGTGACTATACTAAAAGCCATTGAAATGTACACTTTAAATGAATGAATCCCAGGGCATATGAATCATACGTCGATAAGGCTTATTTTAAACATTTGTTTACTGAGAAAGCAAAAAAAAAAAAAAAAAAAAAGCCTTGAGGGAAATTTCAGGGGTGAATAGAAGTGTTCCAATAATTGGTTTTCGGTGCCACTTATGTGACTACCTGTATTCACAAACGCATATCATATTTTACACTTAAAATGGGTGAACAAATTTACCCAACTTCTATCTCAATTAAGTTCTTAAAGAAGAAGGGAAAAATACGGGCAGGGGATTGGATTTGGCCCACAAGCCACGATTTGCTGACTGCTTGTCTAGTGGTGATCAAATCAGGACTGTTTAGATCCCGAGTAGGCAAGAACCCAACTCAGGCTGGTTTAGGCAAAATGAGGAATCTGTTGATGCACAGAACTGAAAAGTCTAGAGGATATGTGGGCTTCAGGCACTGTTGGATCTAGGTGTGCAAGTATCATGAGAACTCCATATTGCTTCCATTCTCAATTTCCATGAAATGGCTGCCAGCAGCTCCTGTCACATTTTCCCGGGTTCACATCCAGCAGAAAAGATTAAGTAGCCTTTTCCAAAAATCACTGTGTTCCAGTGGTTCTGACTGGGCCACATGCCCAGCGATCAGAGGAATGCAGTGTTCTGGTTGGCCCGTCCGAGTCACATGGCACCCCTGGACCCGGAGGATGCATTTAGTATCACCCAAAGCCCAAAGACTGTACAAGGGGTGCCAGGGAGAGGTGGTTTCCTGGAGAATTGGGGTGCAAGTGAGGGGCCCCCACAAAGAAATTTGAGAATATTTTTTTACACCGAATATTACAGCGAATATTTTTGCTTAAGCAGTTCCAAACACCAAAGGAGTTAAATAAACACTGCTAGTCATGTTCTGTCAATGACAAAGCCCCCAAGAGGGAAGACAGCCCGCAGGTCATTGGGAAAGCAAACCCCGCCCCCTCCAGCCCCGGTTCACCTTTGCTCTCCGCATGCAGTTTAACTACCTGCAAGTCAAGACAGAGGGGTCATTTATTCAACAGACGGTTGTTGCGGTCAGCCACACACCCCGTGTCTGTAAAATTCTCCTAGATCAGGAAATGGAAAGGCCTGGAAATTAAGGGGCAGACGTAAGGGCTGCGTAGCAGAGCGTAGGCCGGCTCTCCAGTTCCGGGGGGCAGTGCCCACTGCTGAGATGAGCCAGGCCTCTGGGACAGCAGCAGAGCCTTGAAACGTCTTCTCTGACGCCCGCCGAGCGGCTGTCTTCACCTCCCCGGAAGGGGAAGCAGGGTCAGATCGAGAGGAAATTAGAAATGGGGGTGCCTGGGCGGCCAGTCGGTTAAGTGTCAGACTCTTGGTTTCGGCTGAGGTCATGATCTCGTGGCTCTTGGGTTTGAGCTCCGCACTGGGCCCCACGCTGACGGCACAGGGGATTCTCTCTCCCTCCCTCACTCTCTGCTCCTCCCCCACTCATGCCCTCTCTCCTGTCTCCCTCTCTCTCCAATAAATAAAGTAAAAGGAAAAAGTTGTGAACAGCTAGTTTCTCTGGACCTCGGTGTCCAATGAAATTGAGACCATTTCACTGACTTGTCGCCCCTGCCAAGGCCTGATCGGACCCTGGTCCACTTCTGTACCTGGTGACCTCCCACATTCCCTCCCCCACCCCTGATCTCCACTCCATCCTACCTGGCTCTTCTGTTCCTTGCGTGTAACCTGCTTGTTCCCGCCTCTGAGCATTTGCACATACTGTTCCCTCTGCCTGAAACACTCCTCCTCTCCCCGAATCTTCCCAAGGCTAGCACTTCTGGATCATTGAGCATCACCTCAGGGAGACCTTCCCTGACCCCTCGTGCCCCCTTGAGCCCCCAGGTGAGCCCCCACCCCAGGTCTCTCTCCCTCACACATCTGGTTTCGCTTTCTCAGCAAAAGAGCTCAGCTCCAAGATGCTCAATGAGTGTTTATTTATTGTGCAGAAACAATTCTAGGACAAGTGGGGACAAGGTGCATGCTTGTCCCAAACATGAAGGAAGGCTCAGTGCCAGAAGCTGGGGCCCGGGCTTAGGGTGTCCAGTCTGTCCAGTGACAGCATGGCCTGATTGTCT